ACGTTTCTGAATCAGACGTTGTTGGAATAGACGTTACTGAAGCAGGCGTTGTGTGAATAGACGCTTCTGAAGCAGACTTTGCTGAAGCAGTCGTTATTGAAATAGACGTTGCTGAGGCAGACGTTGTTGGAATAGACGTTACTGAAGCAGTCGTTGTTGGAATAGACGTTGCTGAAGCAGTCGTTGTTGGAATAGACGTTGCTGAAGCAGACGTTGTTGGAACAGACGTTGCTGAAGCAGACGTTGTTGGAATAGACGTTGCTGAAGCAGTCGTTGTTGGAATAGGCGTTGCTGAAGCAGTCGTTGTTGGAATAGGCGTTGCTGAAGCAGACGTTGTTGGAATAAACGTTTCTGAAGCAGACGTTGTTGGAATAGACGTTACTGAAGCAGTCGTTGTTGGAATAGACGTTGCTGAAGCAGTCGTTGTTGGAATAGACGTCGCTGAATCAGTCGTTATTGGAATAGACGTTACTGAAGCAGACGTTGTTGGAATAGACGTTGCTGAATCAGACGTTATTGGAATAGACGTTGCTGAAGCAGACGTTGTTGGAATAGACGTTGCTGAAGCAGTCGTTGTTGGAATAGACGTCGCTGAAGCAGTCATTATTGGAATAGACGTTTCTGAAGCAGTCGTTATTGGAATAGACGTTTCTGAAGCAGTCGTTATTGGAATAGACGTTGCTGAAGCAGTCGTTATTGGAATAGACGTTGCTGAAGCAGTCGTTGTTGGAATAGACGTTGCTGAAGCAGTCGTTGTTGGAATAGACGTTACTGAAGCAGACGTTGTTGGAATAGACGTCGAAATAGACGTTACTGAAGCAGACGTTGTTGGAATAGACGTTGCTGAAGCAGTCGTTGTTGGAATAGACGTTACTGAAGCAGACGTTGTTAGATTACGCGTTGCTAAAGCAGTCGTTGTTGGAATAGACTTTGCTGAAGCAAACGTTGTTGGAATAGACGTTACTGACGTAGACGGTGTTGGAATAGACGTCGCAGAAGTAGACGTTGATGGAATAGACGTTTCTAAAACAGAGTTTGGTGAGGCAGACGTTGCTGGAATAGACATTACTGAAGCAGACTTTGCTGAAGCAGTCGTTATAGGAATAGACGCTGCTGAATCAGACGTTGTTGGAATAGTCGTTACTGAAGCAGGCGTTGTGTGAATAGACGCTTCTGAAGCAGACTTTGCTGAAACAGTCGCTGTTGGAATAGACGTTGTTGGAATAGACGTTACTGAAGGAGACGTTGTTGGAATAGACGTTATTGAAGCAGACGTTGTTGGAATAGACGTCGCTGAAGCAGTCGTTGTTGGAATAGACGTTGCTGAAGCAGACGTTGTTGGAACAGACGTTGCTGAAGTAGACGTTGTTGGAATAGACGTTGCTGAAGCAGACGTTGTTGGAATAGGCGTTGCTGAAGCAGACGTTGTTGGAATAGACGTTACTGAATCAGACGTTGTTGGAATAGACGTTGCTGAAGCAGACGTTGTTGGAATAGACGTTGCTGAATCAGACGTTGTTGGAATAGTCGTTACTGAAGCAGGCGTTGTGTGAATAGACGCTTCTGAAGCACACTTTGCTGAAACAGTCGCTGTTGGAATAGACGTTACTGAAGGAGACGTTGTTGGAATAGACGTTATTGAAGCAGACGTTCTTGGAATAGACGTTATTGAAGCAGACGTTCTTGGAATAGACGTCGCTGAAGCAGTCACTGTTGGAATAGACGTTTCTGAAGCAGACGTTGTTGGAATAGACGTTACTGAAGCAGACGTTGTTGGAATAGACGTCGCTGAAGCAGTCGTTGTTGGAATAGACGTTGCTGAAGCAGACGTCGTTGGAATAGACGTTGCTGAAGCAGACGTTGTTGGAATAGACGTTGCTGAAGCAGACGTTGTTGGAACAGACGTCGCTGAAGTAGACCGTAATAACTTCGTATAGCATACATTATACGAAGTTATACGACGTTGTTGGAATAGACGTTGCTGAATCAGACGTTGTTGGAATAGTCGTTACTGAAGCAGGCATTGTGTGAATAGACGCTTCTGAAGCAGACTTTGCTGAAAAAGTCGCTGTTGGAATAGACGTTGTTGGGATAGACGTTACTGAAGGAGACGTTGTTGGAATAGACGTTACTGAAGGAGACGTTGTTGGAATAGACGTTATTGAAGCAGACGTTCTTGGAATAGACGTTATTGAAGCAGACGTTCTTGGAATAGACGTTATTGAAGCAGCCGTTCTTGGAATAGACGTCGCTGAAGCAGACATTGTTGGAATAGACGTTGCTGAAGCAGACGTTGTTGGAACAGACGTCGCTGAAGTAGACGTTGTTGGAATAGACGTTGCTGAAGCAGATGTTGTTGGAATAGACGTTGCTGAAGCAGTCGTTGTTGGAATAGACGTTTCTGAAGCAGGCGTTGTTGGAATAGACGTTACTGAAGCAGACGTTGTTGGAATAGACGTTGCTGAATCAGACGTTGTTGGAATAGACGTTGTCGAAATAG